TTCTGTAATATACTCACATATCTATATTATTGCTAATATATATTGTAATATATCTATATCACTAAAGCACTTCTGGATGGATGCAAACTGCATTTCGTTGCCCTGTACCTGTGCATGTGCAATGACAATAAAGTTGAATTCTATTCTAACTTGAAACAAAGCAATTTCTTTGCATGTGGCTTTGACGTCTCCTCCTCTTATATCTGCACTGATGAAGAACCTTGAACCTTGATGTGAAAGTGTTGACGATGCCTGTCGTTCAGGCGAATACTACCTGCGCCATAATGCCGAACCTTAATGAATGTGGCAGTGATGAGGTGACCAGCACGGTGAGTATACTGGTGGCTAAAGACCTGCTGTTATTTTCAGGAATGAGATGATCCTGGGATTTCCTTCTTTCATGCCAAAACTCTGGACTAAATGAAGACGTCGAATGATTGGGGAGTGGAAAGCCTCCTGTCTGGTACGGTGCCCGAACCACTGATAACACCTAACTCACGAACTAAGTACTTAAAATATTGCTCATATTTGATCTTCAATGTAAATAAAAATGACGTGACGGGAAGGATGAGCGCGGGGCGACTGGGGAGACGAGGTTTGTTTTTTGCTCCGTCTCCAAGGTTGGTTGCTCTGGAAATGTGTGGTTTTCACAGGATGCAGTGTTCCCCAGCGAGCAGCTTTGTGTAAGAGCTGGTGGGTAAAATCAGCTTGAAGCCGAAGCGCAGGGGAGGACGAGGACAGGGCGAGGGCTATTTTTGGGCGATTCCCTGCTGCCCCTGTAATTTGGAGAGGTTTACTGAAGGAGAGAGGGGGGAGACTGCTGTTGTTAAATCGCTAACTGTGAGCTATAGGATGTCATTAAGCTGCTCTGCTTGGCTCTGCTCAGTGACTCACAAACATATCACACACTTGCATGCGCCGGGTCTTAAGCTCCTCTCTGCTGTGTGCTTTTGTGCGTCTTATTCTCTCCGGCCAGTCGTCAACGCACACGAGCGGGGCTGCACGTCTGATGCGTTTCTCTGCACGAGTCTGTCCACGCTAACGGCACACAAAGGCATGAATGGAGGCCCCGAGAGGCCTCGAAACTGCGACTTCATTTAAACCTGGAAGGTGACGGCACCTGCGGAGGTGTTGATTATCTTGTCAGAATGAAGATGGAGAGTTTCCGGGAAAGAAATGACCTCGCGCTGCTGTTTTTCTTTTCTCGAGCTGAAGCCACAGAGAGGCCAGTGTGACTGAACACGACTGTGTGAATTCCTCAGGAGAAATCAAGTCTCCTGTTAGGCAATGAGGCATGGATAAAGATAGTGTTATTTCTTTACTAACGCCGGCCCTCATCACAGACTATTATCCAGGTGCAGAAACATCTCATCTTTAACCCTCCTCACTAATAATTACTGCTTTGAATGAACCTGCTGCTCCTTTGCTCCTTTGGCACATCTTTGTATTCACAAGCAGATATTAAAGATCTTCTCTTGATAAACAGATCACAGCAGGCTGATAGCAGCTACACATCAGCCTTTTTCAGAAGCACTGACGAGGACAAAAATATCGAGAGAGCGAAGTGCCATCTGCAGGTTTATACTGTAGTTTGCTCGACCTCTCAGTCACCGGCCAAGGAGCAACCTCTAGAGCTGCAAAACTGAGCCAAGGCACTAGTGCCAAAAACTGCAGTTCCTCTAACGTCCACTCGAGGCTCCAGCAGTGAGTCAGTGCCCAAAGTCTCCTGCGTTAAAACCCTGAACTTCAGAGCAGACACAGGCGGCAGTAGCTGCTAGCCTCCCTCAGTTACTGGAGTCCCTGAGCTGGACCTCTGGACCTTCTGGAGCATTTTTAATCCAATTATCTGATCAATAATATGGCTGCTGTGGAGTTAACGGTACTAAGAGACAATCTCAGAAGTCTGAGCTCCAGTTTCAGGGAGTGAGATTCAAGGATTTCATTTGGATGTTGCTGAATACTGATTGGCAGATATCAGGTCATTCATGGCTCCAAAAAGCTGACGTGTTAGTGACGGTCCAGAAACGTCCGTCCGGCCATGTGAACGTTGCCGTCTCAGTATGCACACTATGAATATGAATGATTCGTGCAGGGAAATGTAAACTGGAGTTCGTTTGAACAGTGATGCATTCACTTGTTTAAAAAAAATCACTTTTTAAACTGAAGTTAATAAAGTTATTTAAAGTGATCCAGCTGCTGACAGGATGTCAGACATTTAAAGTGAAGCACTGTGAAGACCCAGAGCCTGTTTCCTGTTAATCATCCCTGACACCCAGTGGATGTAAAGGGTTCGCTTGAATTTGTTGTCCTCGTGTGTGTGTGTGTGTGTGTGTGTGTGTGTGTGTGTGTGTGTGTGCGTGCGCGCGCGCACACAGAGCCGACGGCAGCTCTAAGCAGCTGATGTGTGACAGACTGAATGACTGGCTAACACTCGCTGATGGATGCCGAGAGAGGCAAAGTGGAGGAAGAGTCAAGTGAGGCAGAAAGAGGAAATATATATACTCTCACTGTGTCAATGGGAAAAACACACTGTCTGGCTGTGCTCGGGCTCCTCCCACTCACATTCTCCTATTTAGCACCGTGTACGTGCAGATAGTCAGTGAACCACATCTAAACCAGCGTTTGGTGCTTTTTATGAACGTTCATGCTGAGCACACACAGTCAGCTTGTTGCTGCTGGTCAACAGCCTTAAACCCGTGAAGTGGACAAGAGTAAAGTGAAGGTAGCTCGCAGGTCAGGAGGTAGAGCAGGTCATCTACCAATCAGAAGGGCAGTGGCTCAATCCTGGGGGACGTAGGTCACGGAAGAACAAAAACATCTTGTGTGTCCTCAGATTTGAGTAGAAAAGTCCAAAAACTAATAGTTAAAAAATGGAAATAAAGACATTTCAAAGTAAAACCAACATGTCCCCATTTCCCGTTTGTGTTGCATTTTTCACAGTTTCCCTACAACTCGGAGAGTAGCAGGAAAGTGTCTGTAGACACGTCCATCACTTCTGTTCATTCAGTCTCTTCAGCATACATTGTTACCGTGATTGTCCAAAATCATGGACAATCTCACATGGTCTATAAAACATCAATATTGATTAAAAACAATGCAAATATTTTAAAAGCTTAATATTAATATACAGCCTGGCTTCACGTTTTCAGAAAACGTCCATTATGAGGCACCAACTTCATCTCAGGCAGCAGACTTCAAAGGATTTAACAGGAATAACTAGTCAGCCGTTGGTTCTCCAGTTTCCATAACAGGTTACATTCGAGGCTTTAGCCTCCCTACAGGTACGCTCTAGCTGCAAGCCTCTTTGCAACCCACCTCGATGTGCATAGAAAAGGCAGTGAGGTCGCAGAAACAGACCCGTGCCACCAAATATAAGAGATGCAAACAGCAGTCAGAAAACTGTCGTGATCGGACTAAATGAGCAACGTTAATGTCTGAGGTCACAGACTCTGATCTTGGCTCATGTGATTAGGTAGAGGATCATCAGGGGGTCCTTTGTCCCTCTTTGGGGGGAAACTCCCACTGGGTTTAAATCTGGGACTCTCCACCATTTGACCTTAGAACTGAAGAAGCTTCTCAGATGAAGGTGAAACGTCTTCAAGCAACTCAAACAAGTCCAGACGCTTTTCTTTGCAAGCTCCTTAGACGACTCTGACCTTTGAGCACCAAATTCTAATGAGCTCATTGCTGAGACAGACGGACAGACATTTCATCCAGGTGCTTAAAACACTGTGTTTGAGTAAGTTAATCCTGACCTGCTAACCACAGAGAGAGCTCCACAGCTCAGTGTGAGTCACGTTATGTTGTCATAATTTTCCTTTTATCATGCGAGTTTGAACACTCACACAAAGTACATGTCAGCTGTAAGCCAATGATCGGGCATGGAGTCCTATTACAGAAGCATGTAAACAGCTTAATGAGCTGGATCATGGTGTGTAAACACAGCCAAACCAAAGAGAGGGCGAAGCATCAAACGGCTGAGCTTAGGCTGAGGGGGGAGGGGGGGAGGCTGGGTGGCCAGAAGCTGTCACAGGAACAAAAGGTCGCCGCTTTGACCTCGAAACAGTCGACACGTCCATCAAACGTCACACGTCCTTGAGCACGATACTGAACTGTTAAGTGTCTGAAAAAAAGCCACTGGGAGCTCTGCAGGGCTGCTCACAGAGAGGAACCGGGTGGGGGCGGGCCAGCAGTCGGGGGGGGTGGGGGTTGTGGGAGAACACAGCTGATGATATACTGCAACACCCCTCCAGGTCCAGGTGCTGATTACACTCACAAAACATGATATAAAATCTAAACGCAACCTTGAACTGAACACACGTTTTTCTAATGATGGGAAAATATCAACTCGTTAGCTTAATTAAAGCTGAGAAGAAGCTGTGACTGAAGCCAGCGTGTGCCACACATCTGCCCACTGAAACCACTAAAACCATTCATTTGCACTCTGTGTTATCTGCAGCACTTCACAGCAACCAAAAACTGCAGCCGCACAATTTCAGACTCAAATCTCTGAAAAGTTTGGAGCTGCATGTTTACATCTGACAAAGCAGCAGAAATATAAATGTATGAAGAGGCAGAGGAGCAGCATTGATTTCATTTTTCAGACGAAGCTTCATCTCCGCGGCTGGAGGTTGGCGTGGAGTTTGAATGTTCGGAGAGACAAACGGGGAATGCAAACACACCGACCGACTTCAGCATCACGTTCGCGCTAACATCGTTACACACTGTAAAGCTGCTGTTCTAGCTCAATAAAGGAGGAGGAGGAGCTGCTCTCGATAAGATCAGCAGTTCAAAACCACAGAAAGCCGGAGTGGGCTGAGAGGAGGAGAAACGCTGAAGAGGAGGAGGAAGCTCGTGTAGGAGTGAGCACGAGCTGACCTGTAGGCATGTGTTTTTGTGTAGGTAGAAGTAGATTAGCGGCCGGAGTCACGCTACACTTTCACTCACAAACTTAGAACAGCAAACACGCCTCCTCTGGAGCTGAGCTCTCTCTTACTCACATCGTTGGGAATGAGCAACTCCTGAGACGTGGTTTGGGAATTAGCCTCCATCCCTCCTGGGAGAGAGAGAAGAAAGAGAAAATTCATTTTGAATGATTAGAAAACGTCCAAATCATCAGGGATCAAAACACAACAAACCCCCAATGGCTTCTTTTTCATCACCGTCCTCCACAAACGGGGACTTAGTTTGACTTTGATAAGAGCAAAGTGGGAGGAAAACTGAAAGAAGGGCAAAGCTAGATTAGATTAGATTAGATAGAACTTTATTAATCCCTCGGGATTCACAGTGAGGTGAAGAGGCACTACAGCTTAGTTGTTCCCCCCTCCTTTGTCCTCCTGTTTCCCCTCCCTCTCCCCTCCAGAGAGGAGTTAAACAGTCTGATGGCGTGTGGGACAAAGGAGAACAAAGCTAGAACAAAGAAGGAAAAACGTTTCAACAAATCATATTTTTATTTTACCCCATTAATAGAAAATGAAGGAATCTCTGTTTGCGCTTTAATAACACTGTTTCTGATTTGGTGAGCACAGCTGGAGTCAGGATGGGTGGTCAGCGTTACTTACTGTACATACATACTCTCCTTTCTTCCTGCTGCTTTCATGACTTTACTTTCAGAAGGAAAGTTTCTGTCAGGGTTAAAACTTCCTGCTGTCCAGTTTATCGTCCCTGCGATCAGGACTCGCTGACCACGGTTTGCAGTACCGATATATTTGTGCCCTGGATGATTCTATCCAACCGGCTAACGAGGAGCCAAAAAACTGATACGCTTTACCCGGACCTTCCCCTCGTTTACGTCCTTTGCTGCAGAAAGGTTTGATCGCTCTGAAACTCTGTGTGTGAGTGTGAGTGTGTGAGACACCCGTCCAACCACGTCTGATGAGTTTTCTACCTGGACTGGGTTGAAATAATCAGTCGCCCCCACGTGACGACTCTCTCGTCGATGGTTCTTTTTGCTGCTTCCGCTTTTCTTTCTTTCCTTTTTCTTCATCCTTTCTCATCTTTTCCTCCCTCCCTGCCTTAGTTTTCATTCTTAAATCTCTTTCATTTTCCTTGTTCCCCATGCCTCACGCACTCATGTTTTCCATCTGTTTCCTCTCTGGTTCTTCTGTTCTTTCTCTCATTTCCTTCTTTCCATTTTCTCCTTTTCTTTATCTTCGTTGTACATGTACACTGACAAAAAACTGGCTATTTTATTCTATTCTATTCTTCTTCTCTGTCCTTTTGTCTTTTTTCTCCTACCTCTTTTCTGTCTTTCACTTCTGTCCTCTGGTCCCTTGTCCTCTTATATAGTTGCTGCTTTCCCTCCTTGAGGAACGTCAGAACCTGATTGGCTCCTCTGAAGAGGTGGAGGTGGAGTTCTCTCCTTTGCTACAAAAACCGCATCTGTGACAAATTATTCAATTTCCTGAATTGAATTGTTTTAACGATGCCATCTCTGCGGTCTTATTATTAACGAGGCCAACACAATCAGCTGTTTGCTCAGTCACACCTTTGATTTCCACCTTTTAGTCGATTAGCAGAGCCGTTCTGCAGAGTGGCGTGGAGCCTCACCGATGCAGCCAGAAATCTGCCGGCCAGGTTCGAGTACAGAGAGCTGCTCTGCAGTCGGCCTATAAGCTCAGCTGGATGCTCCAAATCAAAGCCACCAGGCACAGATTCTAATTCAGAGCCGTGCTGCAGAATGAAGCTCGTGCAGCATTCATTACCTCATTATGTACTTGAAAAGTTGTCCCACAAACAGAGACGCAGACAGGAGAGAGAGCATTGTGCATTTTAAAGGCTGAACTCGGAGGATGTCTGATAACATTCACACATTTTTACAAACATCTCTGTTGTTTTTGATAAAGAGAATGATGAAACTCGACGTAATGACTTTTCCAAAATGAAAATAAGGTTTTTGAATAAATCCGTCTGTTTTTTTTAAGAGGCTGCAGACTTTGACGTCTGTTTTTAGTCCTTTGATTCAAAGTCGAATGTGTGCAGACTGAACACGTATGCGTCTGCTGACAGCTCGTCTCTCTCGCGCTCACGTGCACGTCACCAACATGTGCTGCATGCACACGACGGTCAAATCGCTCAGAGTTCCCAGAATCTCGAGTGGCTGTTTGAGGTTTTAGGCTCAGGTTTGCAGCAGTGTTATGGTTTTATTGTACGCTTTGTGTGACTGCATCAGTGAGCTGGGCTCTTAATTTCCTTTGGAATGACAGAGGGAACCATTATCACACTCTGACTCCTGAGTCTTTAGCGCTCAGCCTCAGAGAGCAGACGTTATCGCGTCAGAGGGAGGTGGGAATCGTCTGGCAACACAGGACACATGGAGGCGTATAGATTAAAGGCAGTTCCTGTTAAATGGACGTTTTCCAGGAAGCACAGTGGTTTGCAGGGTTTCAGGTTTCACTGAGGAGATCAGTCAATAATGAAACTACAGTGAGCACAAAAGCCTCTGTGGCTCTTTTATTTCACAGATCACAAACCGCTCTGTGGCAACACAAACTTATTTTGTTAACCTCTCTGTGGAGTCTGATTTATTATACGACATATTGAACTATTAATCCGAGCCGGACACCGAGACTGTGAGTCGCTCTTTGTCTTGACTTGTAAACACCTGCAGATTCAGACATGCGGGGGAAAAGAGATGTTAACGAGCAGATCGCTCTGAGGCTAAATATTTACTACAGGTATATGTTTATCTAACACAGATATCAGGTTTACACAGGTCGTACTTCTTTGTAATAAATCCAGCTGTCAGATTCACCCAGAGAACATCTGCTAAAGCAGCTCCATCAGTGTGTGGGAGAAAAGCTCTTATATCAGAAGTTAATGACTCTTGGAATGTGTTTGATCAGTAGATTAGTTTGTGGTAGACTCCGATCAGAAGAGAGTCGGGCTAAGGATGGAGGGGGAAGCCCCAGTGTCAGATAAAGAAGGATTATTTTGAACTGGGACTCATGCAAAGCTGCTTGAGCAGAATCTAAGAATCCAAATATTGAGCTGGAAATAAGAGGTTACCTGTAATTCCTTGTGTGTGTGTGTGTGTGTGTGTGTGTGTGTGTGTGTGTGTGTGTGTGTGTGTGTGCGTGCACATACCAGGCAGTACTTGTGTAGCTGATTGGCTGATGGGGGCCAGGCCTTGCTGCTGCATCGACAGCTGGTGCAGCTTTGCTAACTGACAGGAACAGAGATGGAAATCAGACAGAAACAAGCGACGATATCAAAGATGAGCAGAGTGAATAAAGCAGCTGTTTACCTCTGAGTGAGGAATGCCGTAGTGGCTCTGTACTGCATACGTCTGAAACAGAAAAATACAGAAGGTTGATGTTATCACCTCATTATCCATCCAGCCTGGAGTTCATCATGAGGTTCAGTTTGATCAAAAGTCCAACAGACAGACAAGAAAAGACAGGAGAGGCTTTAAAATGTGGAAAAGTTTGGTGCGGCTGCTTTAAGGTCATTTAGAGCGATCAGACATCTTCCCTCTGATTAGTGAAAGCTGCAGATGAAGTAGATGAAGAGAGTTCTGCAGCAACTGTGTTGAAACATATCGTGCATCATTTATGATTTTCCTTAAAAGTTGTAAGAAAATTGTAACACTTTTTTTAAGGTCTCTCTTTGGAAATGAAGCATTCCCGCCGGCTTGGGAACGCTTCAGTATCTCTGCCGATGAGCTGCAGGTGATGGTCAAGGATGGGAAGGTTTGGACTTCTCTGCTGACAATGCTGGTTCCCCGACCCGGATAAGCAGCAAGGCGCTCCGTACCTTCTGCATTTGATCCATCTTTCAGATCTCCATTTGTTTTCAAAGGCGACCGTGGTTCAGGGGGTTGGCAGCTCATCTGTGACCAGAAGGTCGCCAGTTCGATCCCCCAACTCTTCCTGTCCTGGTTGTTGTGTCCTTGGGCAAGACACTTCACCTACCGCCTACTGGTGATGGTCAGAGGGGCCAGTGGTGCGATATGGCAGCCTCACTTCTGTCAGTCTGCCCCAGGGCAGCTGTGGTTTGCCTGCACCAGTGTGTGAATGAATAGTGGAACTGTAAAGCGCTTTGGGTGCCTAAAAAAGCGCTATTATTAAAGTTGATACTTTTGCCGTGATTATAAATTCCTTCGTCGCACGGGTTTCTGTATTTTCTGTGCCTGAAACCAAACCTTCACTCTCACCTGCACCTGCGTCACCTTTTATTTTTAAATCCTTGAAGATTTTTAATATAGATACAGCGAAGCTTTTGCTCATAATAAAAAGTAGTTGATGAAAAACGTTGACATTTTCCAATCTCTCCGGAGCTTCGGATACAAAGCCCATAAACCAATTCAAAGACCCCGAAAAGCCCGTCAGTTAAAGGTCTTTTCCTCCGTCTTCTGCGAGTACAGAGGGAAACGCCGTCAGGATTAATGCTCCGTGATGCTCGGAGTTACTGAAAACACGACTATGAAAACGAGTTTCCCTCGATCATCCAGTCCATGTTTTATCTGTCCAACATCATGACTCGAGGAGTTTGCAGACGGCTTCCCAAATCCCTCGCTGAACTTCAAAGAGGAGCAGCGCGTCCACAGGCGAAGCATGAGACGGCTGCAGGGGAGGTGGTGTGTGTGTGTGTGTGTGCATGAGCAGCGGGACAAAGTTGGTGTGGATGCATTCGAGACACTGCAGAGACGCTTGTGTGTCTCCCCGAGGTTGACCAACCTTATATAAGAGATCTCAGACTGTGCAGCTGAACTTTTGACTCCTTTTGGCAGCACTCCGGGATGTGGAGGATCCACAGAATCCAGCTCCAAAGACTCTGACTCTATAAGAGTAACGGACCCGTGTGAGCTCTGCTTGATATTTATGCACCGTTGTGAACCTGAAAGTCTACCTAATGCAAATGGTCCGTGCGGGGTCCAACACGGAAAGCACCATATAAATATTTATGCGCGGTTTAATGCATCATGAATGAGAGAGTCTGCTCCCGCACGTCTGGGATTCTCCGAGCAGGAGACGACAGCAGAGAATGTCAGACTGACGAACTTTGTTCCTCCTTTTAGGAACGACCGTCTGATGTCGGCGCCGATATTTAAGAAGCTCCTCAGTCAGCCGCTGATGCTCTGCTGGAGCGCTCCGTGGACGCCCACAGAGCCTCGTCCACGAACCTCACTGTAAACCAGAATAGCTGCTGTAACCACGGTAACATGTTTCTCCAATCAGAAACGGTTTTTAGGAATAAAAGCTTATCTTTGGATGGGCTTCGTTTTTCTTCTGCTGTCTAAAGTTTAGGCGAGTTGAGGCTACAGATGGACTGAGTCATGTGACTCCATGCAAGCAGCTCATTCGTCAGTGTAGGAATACTTAAAAAATACAACATCGGACACAAAGGTACATTTAAAATGGACGTGTTATAGGCGTGTGCATTAAGGTTGAGCGATTGGACGCATTTATCGACCATCAGTTTGCTAATGATGTTGTTTGAAGCTAAGAGAAGAAGTCAATGGAGCAAACTAATAGTGCTGCATTATATGATTAAATATTTCCGTCCTGGAAGCATGTGCTGCTCGACAAAAGTTTTCAGCACCTCGACAAATGGCTCCTTTTCCACGGTATGAAACGACATCACTTCCTTTGACAGATATTCAGCGTGCGCTGTGTCCACCTGGGGCTGTCCTTTTCATATTTAACCGTTTTAGTAAAAGCACTTTGGATATTCTGCTGGTGAAAAGCTTTTCTTGAGCTTGTTGATGGAAAGCTGGTGATAGCCGAGCATACTCAGCTGGACGGCGAACACTTAAATGCTCATGCGAGTTAGTCGTGTTCGAGTCCTTTGCTGCTGCCGTACGTCTGCACAGCGGCAGCTTTGCCTCTTTCATCCGGTTTAGTGCCAAAGAAATCCCAAACTGATGACTTTGGGGGTTTTTGGCAACTAGTTCCTCCATGTTTGGACTTCTTTGTTCTAAATAGGTAAATCGGTCCATGCACGATTACATTGCTTCGCCCATCAAAAAGTCACCTGCATGAATAAATCACCTATCGTTGTTTCTTGGACCGATGAATGTTGGCTGGAAAAATTTGACATATCGCCCGACTTTAGGGCAACTGTAAGTCTTTGTAATGCTATAGCCCTTTGTTTTTAGTAAAGACTCATTGTACTGAAGTGTATTAGTACTTATTGCACAAATGCAAATATGCTCACTACACTTCAAATACACAAACTAAAACTGATGCTAGTCTCCCCCGCACAAACAGCCGGAGCCTCCGACTGTATGGAAGCAAATTAAGAGTAGCGCTGTGGTCACATCTTTCAAGGCTGTCAGCATGTCTTTCACATAATAATCCTGCTTCGCTTCAGGCTGTTTCAGAGCGTGAAGTTCAACCTTTGACGAAAAAAAGCTCCTCTGACAGCCGATCACTCAGAAGCGGAGCAGTGACACCTGTCATCTCCAGTAAAGACAGCCAAGAAAGGGAAAGGTCACACTGGAGTAGACACACGTTACTCGTCTAAATCTGATGGATCGTTTGAACAAAGTGGGACGGCGCTCATTTCCACTGTGACGGGATACACTGCTGCCTCCTGAAGACCCCTCCCTGTGCAATCACGCCACCTATTAACTTCATTTACCGATGAAGCGTTCCTGTTGAGGTGCAGGAACAGTCCCCTCAATTATAAGGCAATGACTCTACAATCAGACACAGTTTTTATTTTTCAGTGGGGATGACTCCGGCTCCTCAGCCAACGTCTTTCACTGGTTTCCAGTGCCACTGAGCGCTGAGGATCCAACGCACATCATCACGAAGGGAAACTCGACTAAAGTGTCTTCTACGCGACTGGACTTCTTCAGTCCATGAATGTTCAGACCACCATTTCTCAGATGAGAGGTGAAACGTCTCAGAGGTGACGTGGTTTTCTTTCCAAGCTCCTTAGACTATCGACCTGCACAGAAACACTAAACTGTCTTCTTCTCTTTGACACCTAAGCTAAAATCTGACGATGGCACATTTTAGCCATTCTGGTAACATCGACTTCAGGCTCCACGATGAACACACGGAAATCCAGATTTCACTGCTTTAAGCACCTCTTTTCCAAACAGCCTGCGTTACCTGCATTTAGTTAAAAGCTTCGTACTAATTTCCTCTAAAAACTCGTTGTTTACTCTCACTGAAACATGCTTAATGCCATTTCAAACACGTTATCACAGCTAATTATCCCACCGGAGAAATCCTCACAGCTACAATCTCGAAATAAAGATTAACGTTTAATCCCAGAAATGACTCCATGACTACTGCAGATGAGTTTGTCACCAGAGCGAGAGACGCAATCATGATGTGACTCGTCACAAACGCAGTATACGAATCCTCTTCGTCTCTCAGTCGCTGCCTCCTCTTCCTCTCTCTGCAGCCTTAATAATGAATTAAAGGCGTTAATCTCCTCACGCTGTCACTGAACTCTGCATTAACCCTCCCTCCATTGCTTCTTCCATCACAGCTCTTTTCTCTAAAACCTCTTCGTTTCAAACATTCCTTCACATCCTTTTCTGCGTCTTTCTTCGTGCTCTCCTGCCATCTCTTCCCTACAGTCACGTGATGAGTACCAGCAGCTTCCTGGTTCTTCTGAGTGATTTGTGGCCACATCTTAACCAGTAATGATCACTTTCTCTGATTAAAACAAAAATCAAGTCATGCTTTTGAGTGCTGAGGTGATTCCTGTCTGACACAAAACTCTGCAGGACGAGTCCACAGTTACTGTTCAACTCTTCACTGTGTGGTGATTAAAACTTTGTCACTTTACTTTGACATCCTGAGCCTGCAGAAAACTCTGAAATAACGTGAGGACGGAGACGATTCAAGAGTTTCGGAGCTGAGACTGAGACTGTCCGGTCATTCGTACGAGCCAATCGGGAAGCTGCTGATCAGTGGACCTAACAGTCATGAGAGGAGTGTAAAAGATCTGATCGATCATCAATCCCATATGTAAGTAACAATATTCTGATAATATTCTTCACAGCAAAACTGACACTGATGTCACTCCAAAGCAGAGCGACCGATCCTCCGATGTTAAACGTCTTTTTATCGATTTGTTACCAAAGACGAGGTTTTTCTACATTTCTCTTCATTTCTCCTCCCCCAGTCTCCTCGTCTCACCCCCACCTGTCACTTCAACCCTCCGTCTCTCCTCCCATCCGTCCCATGGAGCCTCCGCTAGCTAGTGTTGTTTGAACTGACGTTCCCAAGGCTGTGAGCCTGACAAACAATATGCATTTACACACACACACACACACACACACACACACACACACACACACACACACACACACACCCCACTTAG